CGGCCCGGCTCCCGCCCCGGGGTCGCCGGCTCTGGACCCCGCTCCCGTCCCCATCTCCCCCGGGGCCCCTCTCACCGGCTCCTGGGGGTGAGGGGCGTGGGTGCGCCGGGCTGAAGGGTGGCTCCGAGACCTCCGCTCCACACAGCTCGTTCCGCAGCGGGTAGTGGCGGCGGCGCGCGCGCCCCACCTCTTTTATAGGCGGAGACGCGCGCTCCCGCGGCGAGCGTGCGCGAGCGCGGGGGAAGAGCCCCGGCGCGGCGCGAGGGCTGGGGGGGAGCGCGCGGGCGGAGCCAAGGGGGCGGAGCTCCGGCCGCCTCACCGCGCGATCACCCGGCGGAACGGGCCGAGCAGTCCCGGAAGGAGCCGAAGCGGCGATGCGGGGGAAGAGGAGAGCGAGGGGAGGGCCGCAGGAGGCTGGGGAAGTAGGGCGCGCGCGAGGGTGGGGTGATGGTGCAGTGGGGTCTCTGCCTCCGCCCCAGCGGGCCAGGTTCCAACCACACCTCCTTCCCCGCAGCTCGTGTCCTCCAACCCTGCCCCTCCCCGCCTGCTCTGCGGACAATCCTCGGCACCGCACCCCTGGGAGCCCTTCCAGGACTGCAGCGAAGGGCGGGGCAGGGGCCACTGCTGCAGTCTGGCTGGGGATGCTGCGCGCCCTGAGCAGAAAAACGCCCAGTCCCGAAGTGTGCAATCACCCGAACGCTTCTCTTCTTTCTGGCCACTTTCTCGAGGAGGAGGCCGGCGCTGGGGACCCACGTCAGCCTGCTCTGATGGGGTCTGGGTCAGGAAACCGAGGATGATTTGGGGCTCCGGGTTTGGGGAGGTGGGGAGAAGAAAAGGTCAAATTCGGATCAGAAAAAATCAATCGACAGATTTGGGGCATAAGATTGTCATGTGGGATTTAGAGAATTAATCGTTTCTGACATTCTTACAAATCTTTCCCACAGGTCGCCAGCGGAATAGGATGCATTTAGTCGTATATCATAAACATTAAGGTTCTTTCTGCCACAATTGATTAACTTCCCTTGTGTACCAGGCACTATTCTGTTCCAGGCACTATTCTAAGCATTTCATGGGTTGTTGTTTTTTTTTTTTTAATCTTTACAATAATCTTATGAAGTAGATATTATTTCCTCATTTTACAAACGATCATCCTGCTATAGAGACTAGGTCTCTTGCCCCAGGTCAGGCAGCTAGCAATCAGGAAAAGCTAGGATTTGAATCCAAGCAGTCAGAACCTTCTCTTTGAAACTGTGTGTAGAAAGGGAGGCATTTTGATGCAGGCGGATGCTGGGATGCTGAGAAGAGAAAAATAATATTCATGGAGTTTCTGCTCCTTACAGTCCTAGCAGTTTAAGGGCCTCGGTCTAAACTCTAGCCAGAAGCCCTCGGTTAGGAAGCCCTTTTCCTACTCCACCTTCTGATGACAGCTGGGCTACAGCCATTGGGAGTAACACCCGGATCATTCCTGTGCAGTCAGGCAGACGGGGAGCTCAGGAGCTCATGAAGGCTTCAGCCTCCTGGTTACCAAGCAGCTTCCTCTTTAAATAAGTATAAAGGCACTGGGCGCTGCACCAGAACTTGGGCCCAGGCCCAGCCCTGAGCTTCCTGGTCCTCTGCAGTTTGGTTTTTTCCCCTGTGCCTGGAATCTGCAATCTGGTTTCTAAACTGCCCAGGCTGTAGCCATGAGAGTGAGGAAGAATTGCCCTATTCCCTCACTCCATTGAAGTGAAAAGAAAAGAAAGAAGTGGCCATACCCCAGAAGCAGCTTTACAGAATCTGGAGGAAAAACGTAGGAGCTGAGAGGCATTTCCTGCAATCTCCTATGCAGAGAAAACAGGCAGGGTAACTCCTCCCCGGGGTGTGCATTTCTGGGAATAGCTGATGGCGTCCATGGCCTCTTCTCCAGCTGGTAGCAGCAAAATGTTTAATAAAATATTCAGCTCTGGGTACAAAATGACTAACATAATCATAGTTCTCCAAAATTTCCAAGACTTTCTGCTTTAGCATAGAATGGGTCTCAGGAACTGTTTAAAAGTGTTTTTCTTTTAATCACCCTGGCCCCATAGTGCGATGGAGGGTTTGCTGCTTTTGCCAGATGCAAAAAAACCTGGAGATCTAAAAGAAAGCTCTGTATTGATAAGAAACTAGAATCTTATTTGTTGATCCTTTGTCTGATGATCTGAGACATGGCCAAGAAACAGTATCCCCACCCTCTCCACTTCCCACTCAGTCACCCACCCCACTCTGCATTTGGCACTGGAAATGAGACATTTAAAAGGCCATTTTCCTCTTCTATTGTCTACATAACACACCTCCTACCAATTTCACTGTAGGCCTGACATTCTACTAGGTGTGGGGAGAGGGAGAGGACAAAGCAGATAATGACCTTCTTTGTGTTCTAGGAGAAGCTCATTGGGGGAAAAAAAAAGAGCACAGGACAGTGTACGGGGCTCTGTAACCAATCAACTCTGTGTTCGCAATCACCTCTCTACCAGCCTTCTGAAAAGCCAAGGGTAGGACTGAACTCTAAGCTCCTTTTTCTAGTTCCAGCAGTCCTCTGAATGTTTGATATATACCCCAAGCTTAAGCATCTAGGTAGTCCCAATACCTTTTTAAGTTGTTCACAAGGTCAACTGTTGGGAAATAAGTTATTTGTAATGATGTTTTCACATGTTCTGGACATTTATTTATTTATTTATTTGTCCTTTTTGAGACTGGCCGCACCGCGCTCAGCCAGTGAGCACTGTGAGCGCACCGGTCATCCCTATATAGGACCCGTCATCCCTATATAGGACCCGAACCCGCTGCGGGAGCGCTGCTGCGCCCCCAGCACCGCACTTTCCCGATTGCGCCACGGGTTCGGCCCAGTTCTGGACATTTAAACATTCACATATTCTTATCCATTCTCCCTGCGCCATCCCCACCCTCACTCCCTGCAAAATTAAAAGGCAAGTATTTCCACTATTTTTCCTTCCTATAAGAAAGCTGATTGAGAAAAGTCATGCTGGCAAGTGGACCATACTTCTTCCCAGATGACATTCTGCAGTGTCAGAGCTGGCAAGAAATAGCACAGATCTTCAAAACAGTGACTGGATGAAACTTGAAGACATTATACTAAGTGAAATACGCCAGACACAGAAGGACAATATTGTATAATCCCATCTATATGAGATCCCTAGAATTGTCAGATTCATAGAGACAGAAAGTAGAATAGTGGTTACCAGGGACCAGGGGGAGAGAAGAACCAGGAGTTATTGGTTCATGGGTACAATTTCCATCTGGGATGATGAAAAGGTTCTGGAGATGGATGGTTGTAATGGTTGCACCATACTGTTAATGTACTTATTGCCACAGAACTGCATACTTAAAAAGTTTAACTTTTATGTTATATATATCTTACCACCATGAAAAAAACAAAGGGCTGTCCGCTTTGCTCAGCTGATTAGAGCACAGCCTTATAATACCAAGGTCATGGGTTCAGATCCCCGTACAGGTGACTGCTTCTGAAATCAGGTACCACATTAGAGGAGACTGATAACCACTGGGGGCAAAGCCTTGCTGGGCTGGCTGGCTTAAGAGGACTTTGGCTGACAGCAGAGAGGTGAGCTCTCTCTCGCCACCAACTCCTCATCCTAATCCAGCTCCAGTTATTTCACATCTGTGCCCTTGAGGGACTGCCTGTCAGGCCCAATTAGTCCTTATCCCTCCTGCTCATCCTGAACACACTGTTAGAATTAGTTTCACAAACCATGTTGAACCTTCTCAAAAAACTTTAATAGCTTCCCATTGCCTGTAGAGTAGCCCAAACTATTTGGACAGACACTGTGGAGCTTCCACAGTCTTGTTTGAACTTACCTTTCCACAACATCATTTCCTGGCTTTTTCTCTACCAACCTGAGTTTAGCTTCTGCCAAAATATGTTATTTATTTTTTCCAATTTCATGCTTTTTTTGCTCATAATTTTTTCCTCCAATTAGAATGCACTTCTTTCTCAACATCCATCTCCCATTTCAGCCTGACAAATCTTAAGTATATGTAAGTAGAACCTTTCTGGAAGAGCAGTTTGGCAATATGAATCAAAATATGAAATTTGCATGCCATTTGACCTGGCAACATTACATCTAGGAATTTGCCCTAAAGAGGTAGGACAAGATGTATATGTAAGAAAGTTAATAATTATAAAAAAAAAATTAGAAGCAACCTAGTTACCAAATGAAAAACTATACTGATGATAAAAACAGCTGATACATATATTTTTTAAATTTTATTTTGTCTATATACAATGTGGTTGATTATTGTGGCCCATTACCGAAACCTCCCTCCCTCCTCCCTCTCCCCCCTCCCACCCAACAATGTCCTTTCAAAAACAGCTGATATATTACTGAATTTTTAGTAGGTTACCGAACAACATGGGTACTGAGTTCATTTACATAAGAATTATATTAATATTTGTGTATATATGTATAGAGATGAGTGAAATGATATTCACAATGGGTACTCAGGATAAAAAGGATCTGGGGACTGTTTTTTTTTTTTTTTTTTTTTCCTTTTT